CCGCGAAAGGAGTTCCATCACTGACGACTCACACACATCCATACACATACACATCCATACACACACACATCCATACACACACAGATCATCGCAGCTGGTGCGGGTGCCGCGAAAGGAGTTCCATCACTAACGACTCACACACATCTATACACACACATCCATACACACACAGATCATCGCAGCTAGTGCGGGTGCCGCGAAAGGAGTTCCATCACTGACGACTCACACACATCCATACACACACACATCATCGCAGCTGGTGCGGGTGCCGCGAAAGGAGTTCCATCACTGGCGACTCACACACATCCATACACATACACATCCATACACACAAACATCCATACACACACACATCCATACACACACACATCCATACACACACAGATCATCGCAGTTGGTGCGGGTGCCGCGAAAGGAGTTCCATCACTAACGACTCACACACATCTATACACACACAGATCATCGCAGCTGGTGCGGGTGTGGCGAAAGGAGTTCCGCCACTGTCCATTCGCACACATGTGTACACACACATCATCGCAGATGGTGCGGGTGTGGCGAAAGGAGTTCCATCACTGCCGACTCACCCACATCTATACAGACGCACTTCTCTGTCGGAGTTGTAACTTCGATACGACATTTACATATACGCACGAGAAGAAAGTCTTTTTGATGCGTAGCTAACAAGGGTGTCTCCTATCAGTTTAAGTGGAATTTGCTCTGGAATATAGCAGCACTCCTACATGTATTGCGTGAAATGTCACCTGTGTATCGTTTATCAAACGCTTTATTGCAGTTTTGGGAAATTGAAATCGATTTCCTGGAAATCGAAAAGTGCCCATTATGTCCATTATGCCCATTATTCCCATTACGCTCATTATGCCCATTATTCCCATTATGCCCATTACACCCCGCTCCCAGTAAAGTCGAAAGAAAGAACTTTCCTGGAAACTGATAGAACGCATCAAATGGTGAAATGTGAGAAAAAGTTACGGGCTTGTGACATACCAATTCGTTAGTTTAAAAAAATCTCAAAACTTTTAGAACGTTTCATAAGTAGATTTGTATGTCTTGAATATTTTTAAGAATAAAATATATGCTAATAATAAAAAGGATTAGTCCAATAAAACTGATGAAAAATTCAAACACATAACCAAACAGTCTCAATAAAGAGATCATAATTAGTTGATCGATTTTGGTGGTTCATTGGCGAACAGGTGTACGGGGTGAAAACACAAATCGTTCACTTGTTTGCGAACATAAGTGCAAAACGTATATTTTATTCTTGAAGTATATTCAACATGTAATTAATATGGTAGCTTTGCCTAATTATTATTATGTATTTTTTCCGAATAAATTATGTTGGATATATTCGCTATTACTTGTATTGCTCTTCAATTTTTTTCTTGATATATTTGAATAATTTTCATTTCGGAAGAAATGAATATTTTTTAGTAAAAATTGTATTGTTTGATCATGTATTGCGCAATAGAATATTGATTTTAATAAATTATTTATTGATAAGTCAATTAAAAATAACTTCGACAGGTTTATACGACGAAGCTGTAACGTCGTCAATATCGATCGACGAAGTTATAACTTCTTTGACCGGTATCTCTTCGATACGACATATATACGACATGCTCTGTGCAAAAAACATGATTTACCAAAATTCTTTGCTTAATATTATTCAAAATACCACTCAGAAGACAATTAATTGCTTACGAGTTCTTTATGCCACCGCAAAAAGAATAGAATAATTGAACTTCCACTATTCAATAATTAAATAATTGAATAGTTGAGGTAGATTTTCAATAATTAAATTCAACTTTCAAGTTTGACACTACTGTTACCTCCTATATCTCCTATACCTCCTATATCTCCTATATCTCCTATATCT